GTGTTTGGTTTTTGGTTTGGATATATATGTATGTGTATATGTATGTGTGTATACATACACACACACACATACATGTATACCAAAGATTATTGGTGGTTACCAGGGGTAGGAGGGCAGGGGAAAGGAATTAAATAATAATAATAATAAAGCCAAAAAACTCACTGCCACTGAGTCGATTCCAACTCATAGAGACCCTTCTTGGATTTCTGAGGCAGTATCTCTATGGAAGTAGATTGCCCAGTTTTCCTTACAAGGAGTGGCTGGTGGGTTTGAGTGGAATATTTTGGAAAAGGATAGCAATAATGGTGGCACAACATGAAAAATGTCATCAATGTCCCTGAGCTGTAAATGTGTAAGTTACTATGTTGGTGTGTATGTTTTCACCACAATAAAAGAAAAACTATTCTTTTTGTAGCCCTGCTGCTGGTGTGTAGTGAATCCCATTGTGCTTTTAATTTGCATTTCCCTGATGATCCAAGGTGCAGCCCTTTTGCATACTTTTAGGCTATCTGAATAACTTCTATAAAATGCCTACTTCATGCACTGTCCCATCTCAAAAGTCTTTTTTCTTTAAGTCTGTTATTAGTTTCATTCATTTTTGGCACATTTAATTTTAAAATTTTTGTGTATTTAAGTCAATATTTTCCTTTGGCTTTAGATTTTGACTCATCCATAAATAAATTCCAGACCTAAAGAAAAAGATAAAGCAGCAAAGTATTTAAAAAAAAAAAAAAAAGTTACAGGAGAATATCTTTATGACTTGGGGCAGGCAAAGATTTCTTTAAAAGGACATAAAAGCAGGTCATTAAAATTAGGAATTTTGTTCATTAAAAAAACACTAAGATACAACAATTGATGTTTGTTCACCTGGAGCAACAGAGGAAGAAGAATCAGAAATAGGAGGATATGGAAGGTATGGATAATCACCTCCATGAACAACTGCCTCCTTTGCATGAGACGGTAAGAACTGAATGGTGTCTGGCTACCATTACTGAACACTTTGATCAAAGATTCCATAGAATGCTGATCAAAAGGGGGTGGGGTGGGGAGAATGCAGAAAATAATTTAAAATTTTCATGGGCTCAGATTTTTTGGAGCCAGGGAGGCTGGATGAACCACTGAAGCTATTGCCCTGAGATAATCTTGTAACCTTAAACCAAAAATATCCCCTGAAGTCATCTTAAAACCAAAGAATGGTTTAGCTTAAAAAGTCTATCTTCAGCACTTTCAAGAACTATCTATATGGGATCAAATTGACAACAGCAATTTGAAAGATTAGATAGGAACCTCAGGAGGTAGTGAGTATATGTTAAGGAGGGAGGAACAACTCTGAAAAGGAGGATGATAATGGTGCACAGCTCTAAGACTGTCATCAATGTCACTAAATTGTACATGTGGAAACTTGAATTGGTGTGTGTTTTGCTATGTATACTCTTCAACAAGTTAAATAAAATTTAGAAAAATAATTAAGAATTCAGAAACCGATAATGGTGATGGCTATACAACATAATGAACATAATTAATGTCACTGAATTTTCCATATAAAAAATGTAGAAATGGCAAATGTTTTCTTATATATTTACCACAATGTTAAGAAATAATAATATAAGAGAATGAAAAGCCAGGCCACAGAGTAGAAGATATTTGCTTCTATATATTTTGCAACAAAGGACTTGAATCCAAAATAGCTATATCTAGCTCTACATATGAGAAAGTCTGCTTCCCTAAAGATTTACAGCCTTGGAAATCCTGTGGGGCAGTTGTACTCTGTCCTACACAGTTCTGTGAGTAGGAATTGACTCTGTGGCAGTAGGTTTTGTTTTTGTTTTTATCTATATACACATATTCTTACAAATTAACAAGAAAAAGATACTAATTCAATATAAAAAATCGCAAAACTCTTGAACAGACACTTCATGCAAAAGAAGACACCTACGTGGTGATAAGCATAGGAAAAGATGTTCAACAGGAAAACATTCAGGGAAATGCAAATTAAAGCCAAATTTGCTTAAGGTTCGCATAGCTAGTGGGGATCTGAAGCTACTAGTCAGGTAACTTCTCTTTCTCTATTATATGTAAAACGAGAATATATTAATGCCTATCCAAAAGAATTTACAGTCTGATGGGGTAGGGGAGTGAAACAACAGAAAATAGATAATTATGTATGGAAATATATTGAATTTATGTACTGCAAATCCAGCCCTACAGACACAATGACCAAATTATTTTCTCCTAAAAATTAGCAGTCTTATCAAAATGTTTATAAGCCTTCCAAGTTACAAGTTTTGTATTGTTCTTTGTTACTTCCTCATGATTCCATGTTGCTGGCAGATTAACCCACTGAGATTCTTGTTGACATGAAGCAGACACTTTCTCTGGGCCCTATAAATCTGGCCCCATTCTATCAATGCACCACTTTAAGCCCAGCATTAGTTTAGCCCAGCTCATCTGCTATTGTCAATAGCTTCCCCCCTCCAATCCACAAAAAAACAAACTCACTGCTGTAGAGTTAATCCGACTCATAGCAACCCCTCCTTGGGTTTCCGAGGTGGTATCTCTACGAGAGTATATTGCCCAATCTTCCTTCCGGGGAGTGGCTGGTGGGTTTGGACCGCCAGCCCTCTAGTTAGCAGTCAAATGCCTTAGGCACTTTGCCACCAGAGTTCCATCTCCCAACAATTTGTTGTTGTTGTTGTTATTTGCCGTTGAGTCGCCCCGACTCATAGCGACCCCTCCTTGGGTTTCCGAGGCAGTATCACTACGGAAGTAGGATTGCCCAACCTTCCTTCCGAATAGCTACCATTTATTGAGTTCTTTATTTTCTTTGTAGGACAATTAACTTAAAAAAAAAAAAAATACAATCTCATTTAATTCTTGTAACACATTCCATCCGGTAAATATTATTTTGCCACCTAAGAAATCTTTCCCATTTTACAGAAAATTGGGGCTTGGAGTGAACAAACCACATATCTGAGGTTATGGAAGTGTTCGATGACAAAGCTGGAAATTGAGGCTAGGTTTGTCTAACTCCAAAATCTACATTTGCAATTAGTGTTCCACTGTCCCACTACAGCATGAACTGGTATCTTTATGGGTCTGAAATGGTTGGTTCCCGCATCCCTTCTCACAAAGTGAGCTGTTGGTGCCTTGGCACTTCTGTCTGGGCGGTTCCTAGGGGTACCTTTCCGAGGAAAATCTCCTAAAAAGGAACACGTTGAGATGCCGGGTGGTGTATTTAAGTTATTGAGGTGGGAGAGTGTCTCTAGAAACTTCATTCGACTTTCCCAACTCCCAGTGGGTCTGATCTCAGATAAGGTAGCATCCCCCCAAGGCCCGTTCTCAGTGCAACGGTTTGCGTTCCCTCTTCTCTGACCCATCACACCGTGGCCAGAACACCATAAGCTTACATCTGCGGCCAGTCCAGCTTCCAGCTGCTCATTTCGTCCGCGGATGATCTCACGCTCCAAATTGGGAGGCTGCTCAGGCTGTGGCCAATGTTTGCTGAAGGTGTGTGTGTGTGTGTGTGTGTGTGTGTGTGTGTGTCCTGCGGCCGCCCACCCTAGCAAAGTTGCATCCGTCCCTACGTTGAAGCAGGGGGACATGTTTGTGTCTGAAATATATCCAAATGACACAGAACCGCCCTCGATCTGATCGGGTAGTTTCAATATTGGGCATTGATTTGGGAAGACGTAATGCGATAGGGAGCTCTGGTAGCATTGTGTCTAAGGCATTTGACTGCTAACCAGAAGGCTGGCGGTTCAAACCCACCAGCCACTCCTCAGGAAGGAAAGTTGGGCAATCTACTTCTGTAATGATACCGCCTGGCAAACCCGAGGAGGGGTCACTATGAGTTGAATCCCACTCCACGGCACATAACAACAACAATAATGCGATGGGAGCCTGGGAGTCAGGAATCCGTTAAGCCGCTAAACCCTACAATCACAGCATATCGCTCACTGTGCATCAGGCCAATTCTAAAAGCTTTACATGCATTAACTCATTTAATCCTCACAGCAACCCTATGATGTAAGTGCTATTTTTTATCCACTTTACAGGTAAGAAAGATGAGTTTGCTTCTGTGAAGATTTACAGCCTTGGAAACCTTTTGGGGCGGTTATATTCTGCCCTATAGGGTCGCTATGAGTCGGAATGGACTCGATGGCAGTGGGTGTGGTTTTCTGGTTTTATAGGGGATACAAATAGTAACTTTTTTGTTACCAAGGACAACAGCTAGTAAGTACTGATTGTCTATCTGTAAATTGGGGACAAAAATGCCTGTCCGACACCCATACAACTTAAGTTTTGTAGACCGTCAACCCCTATCAGTAATAATAAATTATCTGGAATCAGTATCTTGAACCCATTACAATACTCTACAGATTTATGTATTATAAAAACCCTTCCTTTAATTTTTTGCTTTCCACCTTTCTGGATATAGGAAAGATGCTTCCAGTGGGGTCCTAGGTGATGTGGACGCAAGTAAGTCCCGGTAAGGATCAAAAAAAAAAAAAAAACCCTGATAAGTAGATCCCAGTTCACAGCGTTGCCACGCCGAACCCCGAACCCCGACAAGATGGGCAACACTGTTCCTGTTACAAGGGGCAGAGGGTACCTAGAGGCTGAGTGGCTCGTCCAGGATTTCCCAGCGAGCAGTAGCGAGCTCAGGAACTTTTCGCCGACCGCACCAGTATGGGCATTTTTTTAAAGCCGAGGGAGAAAGTACACTCCTCGGCGCTGTGCGGGGCTTGGCTCGCCCGGGGTGCACTGCATCCTCTGAAGCCCCCGCGCGCACCGACACCAGGTTGTCTCAGACGTCGGCGGCGCGCACTAGGCCCCGCGCGGATCTCCGGGAAATAGGACACGCCCCGTTCCGCCCCGCCAAATTTAAGAGACCGCGCGGACGGCTGCGGTTATTCTTGACCAAAGTCTCCCTTTAGCAGGGTCTCCTCGCTCGCCTTGCCTGCCCTCTTCCCTGCCCCCGTCAGAGTGAGGACCTTGACATGCCCAGCCCCGGGCCGCGTCGCCGCCGATTGCCAGCTCTCTCCGGCTCCCCGGTCCAGGCCCCGCGCTCTGGCGGCTCTCCCGCGCCCCAGGCGGGGTTGCTCCAGCGCCGCCCCGCGGCCCCAGGCGTCACCCCGCGGGCGGATGCCCGGAGCACCCAAAGTAGCCCTGGCCGCCTCGAGTCCTCCTTCTCCGTCGAGGCCATCCTGGCTAGGCCGGACCCCAGCGCACCGGCCGCCTCCCAGTTATCAGTTTCTGCCTACGCCGCCCCGGGCTTCTGGGCAGTTCCCTCATGGTCCCCGGGTCCGGTTCTGCCTTGGGCATGCACGGCGACTTGGCTGCCCGCCTATCTGGGCGTGGGTCTTTACCCTTTGGGTCCTCAGACCCCTGTGCTGGGGCTGCGCGCGGCTCACTTCTGCGTTCTTCCAGGCCTTGGCGTTACAGGTACTGGGTGCTCGGGCTTCCCCGTTAGGAGAAATGGGGGGAGGAGATGGAGAGTGGAGGATTACAGGGATAGCGGAGAAGTCCCTGAGTTTCAGAACCACAAACAGGGGTTGGGAAGGATCCCTACGACCTTGAAACTGAGCCCCAAAAGAAGGATTCACTGAGACCAGACCCTGGCGCCTCGTTCCCCTGCACGCTACTGAGCAGGTGGAAGAGGTAGGAGTGGACACAGGTGCGCCAGGGAGGGTCTCAGAAGACTGGAAGCCTTGCTCTGGGTCCCTCACACCTTGAGAAGGGATTATATATAGTGCCTTGACACTCTACCATAACCTCTTTGGATAAGCTTGGTGGCACAGGCTTCCCCCAAGACAGCTCTTGTCCCTAACCCAGGCCGCTGTCTTTGCTGGGAGAAGTGGATGCCAATGGTGGTGGTCTTCAGTTGCTAAACTCATTGTATATAGTCCAGTCAACTCTGACTCATAGTGACCCTATAGGACAGGCTAGGACTTCCCCTTAGTTCCAAGGCTGTGATCTTTACAGAAGCAGACTGCCATGTCTTTCTCTTGGAGCTTACCTTTTCCATTAGCAGTAGAGTGCCTAACCACTGCACCACCAGAACTCCTTATGAAGGTTGGTAGGAGCTGGTGAATGCCCAGACCCCAGTCCTGACTCACTGTTCATTGTTGGTATCAACTTGGGCTCTACTCTTGACTGCTATGAGCCAACTCCCTCATAGCTCTCTTATTGCAGGGGCAGGGAAAGGATTCTGGCATCCCGGGCACTTAAATCTCAGTAAGAATTTAACTGTTGAGGTAACTTTGTCTTCCAGCATTAATATCCACCTACATGACCTTTTGCATGGTTCATCACTTCCTTATGTCACCAATGAGGAAAATAAGAACGAAAATTGTTCAGGCTTTATAACACCACACTTCTAAAATTCCAATGTGTTAGTTACCTAGTGCTGCCATAAGAGAAATACCACAAGTGAGTGGGTTTAAAGGCCAGAAATTTTTTCACAGTTCAGGAGGCTATGAGACCAAATTCAGTACATGGCTCTAAATGGAAGTCTTTATCTAGTTCAGCTTTTAGTAGCCAATAATCTTTGGCATTCCTGGGCTTATACATGTACCTGCTGTGTGCATTTGTCTTCGATATAGTACCTTCCCCTTGTGTGTGTCTGTCTATTCTGCTTTTTTATAACTCAGAAGTGTTTAGATTTATGACCCACCCTACACTGGGATGATATTATTAACATAATAAAACCCCATTTATAGGTATCAAACCAAAACCAAATTCACTGCCATTGAGTTGATGCTGACTCAGTGACCCTCACTGGGTTTCTAAGCCTGTAAATCTTTACAGAAGCAGACTGCCTCATCTTTCTTCTGTGGAGTGTCTGGTGTGTTTAAACCACTGACCTTTTGGTTAGCAGCCAAATGCCTTAACCACTGCACCCCCAGAGCTCCTTATTTAGAGGTACAGTGGTTAGAATTTCAACAGCTGTTTTGGAGGCACACATTTCAATCTATAACATTCATGAAGACATTGAAGCCATGCCTGACACATAGTTGGCAATCAAAAAGTATCTGCTGAATGAATGAAAAGGGTGAGTCTATTGAGGTCCCTTCTCTGCTCATCCCATGGGATTTCATGAAGTAGCCATGGAAAGGAGAATGAGGGCAAGGAGACACAGAGGTTTGGTAACTCCTACTGGGGACCAGAGGTTAAGCGACTCAGTGGAGAGTAGTGGATGTAGAAGTATTCAGCATTGTCCCTTCTTTCTCATTTACTTATCTTCTGTTATTTCTGTGCAGTCTCTTCCCACTCTGCCTTCTTGTTGCGTTACTTAGCCAAGGGGAAGGCATGGCAGTGGAGCCCTGTGTGTTCTCTTCCTCCAAGGTGGGGGATAAGTAGGTGCTCGCTAATGCCCCCTCCTGATGCTTGCTCTTTAGGCTTGGAGCTGACTCACTGCCCAGGACTCTGGGACCCCCCAGAGTGGTCCGCAGCAGAGGATCTTCCTGACATTGATCAACGAAAGAGGGTTAGAACTATGTTTAACTTGGAGCAGCTGGTAGAGTTGGAGAAAGTGTTTGCAAAACAGCACAATCTGGTGGGGAAGAAGAGAGCCCAGCTGGCAGCCCGGCTCAACCTTACCGAGAACCAGGTGGGAGCAGGTGATCCAGTGGGGTATGGGCTGCATCTGGGGACGGACACCACTTTCTGGGGGTGACATGGGCCTTCATCATCTGTGCCAGGTCAATGAGGGAGACAGGCCCTAATCACTGGCATACACTGTATCTGATGAGAAAAACAGTCCCATGTGAAATTACATTAAGGGAACAACACATGTTAATCCAGAAACTCATCTAAAACTTTGTAATATTTCCATGCTAAATAAAGAGCAGATGGTAAATTTAAGTAGGTCTTCAAGGGACTAGATGTTGATAATAATAAATATTCCCTTGACTCCCATATTGTTCTCCAAATATCATACTGTTTTTCTGCTCTTTTCATAGGCAAAGTTCTTAAGAACTTGCCCTGTGCACTGCCTCCTGTACTGCACTTCATTCCAATATAACTTCTTTCCCCACCATTCTATTGAAATTTATCATCAAGGTCTCTAATGACCTCCATGTTGCCAAATCCAATAGATACTCTCCTCATCTTAGTCTGCCACCCAGCAGTACTCATTGCAGTTGACCACCCTTTCCTCTATTGAAACACACTCTTCCCTTGACATCCAGGACACCACATTGTCTTGGTTTCCTTACCAGCTCTTTGGTGGCCACTTCTGCCTCCTTTGCAGATTACTTCAGTACTTTGTGACCTCACAGTCTCTTTCCACCAGACCTCATCTACTCCCAGCAGACTCATCTAGATAGTTTTGAACACCATCTATAAGCTGACAAGTCCCACATTTGTCCTTGCTCTTCTTACTCATATATCATCCCTACTTGGATGTCTCATAAGAAGGCACTTAAAAGTTAACAAGTCTAAACCTCAATTCTTGATTTTTTTCCCCCGGCCCAAACCTGTTTATTTCCTCATAAATGACTGCACCATCTACCCAGTTGCTCAAAAACCTACTCATCTTTGATTCCTCCTTCTCCCCCACTTCTAATCTATCAGTAGGCCTTGTCACCTCCAAACTCCAAAATATACCTGGAATTTTTAGTGTCTCTCCATTGGTCTCAACTTCCACAACTTGCAGATCTCACTGGATCACAGCAAGTGTCCCAACTGTCTCCCAGCTTCTGCTTTAATCCATTCTTTAAAAAATAGCCAGACATGCAATTCACATAAAATATCAATAGGATTATGTCACATTTTATAAAGCCTCAAACCTGACAGTCTTCAGGGTCCTTGGTGATCTGACTCTTGCTAACCTCAACCATTTCCCTCCCTTCACTTTCCTCTCTTACTCTTACATTTTGACTGTGTTACCCTCCTTTTGGGAGCTCTGGTAGTGTAGTGCCTAAGGCATTTGACTGCTAACCAGAAGGCTGGTGGTTCAAACTCACCAGCCACTCCTCAGAAGGAAGGGTGGGCAATCTACTTCCATAGAGATACCACCTTGGAAACCCAAGGAGAGATCGCTATGAGTCGGAACTGACTCGATGGCAGTGAGTTTGGTTTGGTTTGGTTTACCCACCTTTCTGCTCCTCAAACACACCAAGCTTTTGTTCTACTTCATAGCTTTCTTACAAGTTGTCCCATGTCCTGCTACCAGATTGATCTTTCATTCTCTCAGCCTTGGCTTAATTGCTGGTTCCCAGCCTCCTGTTCCTACCTTCATCTGTGTTTATATATGTTTTTGTTCATATTTGATATTAGTCTTCCTCCACCAGACCTCATGTATCTCTTCTCTTGCTCACCACTGTATCACCATCACCTAGGACCATGTCTGGCACATAGGAGGAGCTCATTAGATACTTAATGAATGTATGAATGGTGACTGCAATTTAGGAAAGAATGTTTTGGAGAGGTACTTCCCTTAGAAAAAAGCATGTTTTTACCAGGCAGAGAGAGGAGGTCACAGTAGGAATGGGGAAGAAGCAGAAACTTTGGTCACATTCTGATCTCTGCCCACTGCCCCCAATTATAGGTGAGGGTCTGGTTCCAAAATCGCAGGGTCAAGTATCAGAAGCAGCAAAAGCTGAAACTGTTGGCCTCATCCGCCACAGCTGCCTCTCTGGACAAGCCCTTCAGCAGCTCTGACACCAGCATCCAGAGTGAAGACATCGACTCAGGAGTGGACAGCTGAAGACTGGGCAGAGGCTCTACCCAGGATGTCTGGGCTCGTTCTTCCTGGGGACACCCACTGGACTTCTCTCCCTCACATGTACATTTAGCCTTCTCAGAGCCACAGGGCACCAGAGAAATCTAACCTGTCAAGGGGCTCCATTTTCTATATAGATTCCTGGGAGGTTGGAGTAATGTAATGGTCAGAGGCACAGACGTTGATCTTCAGTTCTATGTCCTTGGCCAAGTTACTGAACTTCTGAGCCTTTTGTCTCTGTGTAATGAGTGTGTTGTTAATTTATACCTTCCAGGGATGAGGTGATGTCTGTGAAGCACTTAAAAGGTGCCAGGCCTAGTGCTAAGTTCAGTGACTGTTAAGGCCCTCCTCACCTGAGGGAGTGCTGGGTTCTACACTGTCCTGGACTCCTCAGGGATTAATCTTTTCCTGGCCTGGCTGTGAGAAAAGAGCCTTCTTGAATCAGTGTTTGGGCATAGAAGATTCTTTCCTACCAGGGCTAGTGGAGTCAAGAGTAAGGAGGAGGCAGCAAAGAGACCATTTAGCCCCCTTCTCCCTAGTTTCTTAGTTTTTTTGTTTTGTCTGAACTGTTACCACCCTTAGAAGGAGCACGGGCCCAGCTGCCTTCCTGGAGCAGACATGCTACCCTGATCAGCATCCAGCTATTTGCCTCAACTTCCTCTTCAACTTTAGATACAAACCAAACTCAACTCACTACTGTCGAGTCGAATCCGACTCATAGCGATCCCTCCTTGGGTTTCCGAGGCAGTATCTCTATGGAAGTAGATTGCCTAATCTTCCTTCCGAGGTGTGGCTGGTGGGTTTGAACCACCACCCTTCTGGTTAGCAGTCATATGCCTTAGGCACTATTTTACTATCTTTGGCAAGACTAGCATTTTATTATAAACTCTGTTGTATTTTCACAAGATGGTTATTATTTCCCTTTTATGACCCTCATGACTCCCATTCCTTCCAAAGAATCTGCTCACTTTTTCCCTAAGATGCCAGGCTGATAGCAGACCCCTGTGAGGCCTGCCACCAGCATTTCTAGAGCTCCACATTTCTGGGCCGGTCTCTGTTGAGAGTATTGATCAGAATCTGGAATGGCTCCTAGTGATGGAGGTGAAGAGTCATGTCTGTGGTGGAAAGATGCCTGTGCTGCCACATGGTGGTATGAGAGATATCCTTAGCTGTTCTCTGTGCAGGGATTTCTGAAGAAAAGCAGGGTGTAGGTGTGGCCTCGCCTTCAAAGTATCATTTGCCCCCAAGAGGACCATCCTCTCACCCAGTTTGCAGACTTGGAAGGCCAGGATCCAGCTTGGAGAACTCTGCTCTGTCCTGGTCCTTCAGGGAAATGCTTCCTAACACTGGCCTTAAAGTTAACTCTATTAGAAACCAACTGCATCTGCCTTTTCCAGGAAAAGGTTCAACTTTTTTTTTTCTGGTAAATCAACAGTTACCTGTTAAGCAGTTACTAGGCTCCACTCAGGGAGCTCTGGTAGCATAGTGGCTAAGGCACTTGACTGCTAACCAGAGGGCTGGCGGTTCAAACCCACCAGCTACTCCTTGGAAGGAAAGTTGGGCAATCCTACTTCCATAGTGATACTGCCTCGGAAGCCCAAGGAGGGGTCGCTATGAGTCAGGGATGACTCGATGGCACATAACAACAACAACAACAAGGCTCCACTCAAGGAGCTTTGGTGGCATGGTGGGTGTTCTGATTTCCTAGTGCCACTCTGACAAGAATATACCACAAATGGAATGGCTTGAACAAACAGGAGTTTATTCTCTTACACTTTTGGAGGCTTTTAGTCTGAGTTCCAAGTGCCAGGCTCTAGGGGCTGGGTGAAAGCCCCTCAAGCTTGGGCTTCAGCTCTGCCTCCTACTCCCTGTCCACTGAAGCTGGAGCTTTTCTTCACTCAGCTGCTGGCTGCTGAGGCTGACAAGCCAAGGTTGACAAGTAAAAAGGCACAGTCCCAATGTTGCCAAACAACATGGCAGGCCACGAATTCAAGTCCAGATGAAATCCCAAGATGAGCAGGGCATGGAAGGCTGCTGAATGACGACTTGGCTACATACAGGGTTCAAGCATGTCAAAAGGCTAGAGACCAATCCCAAAGCTTCTCCTTATTTATGGGAAGCAGACAACATCCCTAAAGCAGCTACTCAGCTGCTCGTGGCAGATTCCACCATGGAGTTGATTGCCAGTCTCATCATGAGGAACAACTATCACCAGCTGCCCAGACACTCAACCATGCCCAGTTAAGTTGATATGCAACTTTAACTACCACAGTGGGTAAGGTGTTTGGCTGCTGACCAGAAGGTTGGTGGTTCAAACCCACCAGCTGCTCCATGAGAGAAAGATAAGGCAATCTACTTTGTACCTTGGAAACCCAATGGGACTCGCTGTGAGCTGGAATCCATTCGATGACAGTGGGTTTAAGTTTCACTCAGCTCTGGTGGCATAGTGGTTAAGGCATCTGGCTACTAACCAAAAGGTTGGCGGGTCAAACACACCAGCTCTTCTGCTGGAGAAAAATGAGGCAATTGACTTGATGGCAGTGGAGTTTCGTTGGCTTCACTCGATGCCCAAATGTCACCATGAGACCAGAGCAGATGCTGACAGATGCCTTCTCAAGGGACAAGGGACATCATTTAGGGGGCACGGAAACACAGTAACAAGGCATGGTGGTCAGGTCAAGCTGTGGGGACAAATGCTATATGTCAGTGGCTTGCAGCATTTTAGGAGTTCTAAATGAGAGAATATACTTCTGCCCTGCTGTTCTCAGGTCAGTGTGCATACTCAATTCTGCATATAATTTCAGGGGTCCTCAGATCTCACCCACCAGCCACTACTTCTGTAGTGATACTGCCTAAGAAACCCAAGGAGGGGTCGCTAAGTCAGATCCCACTCCTTAGCAGTGAGTTTCATATCTCTTGACGTCCACTATGGCCCCCTCTACCACCCCCAGACCGATACTGAAGAGTCTAAGAGAAGCAAAAGTCCAACTTGATCTTTCCTATTTCTGCCTACTGCTAAAAGGGTTATAGGATGGATAGGTTGGGTCAATGTGCTCCAGGGCGAGTTTCAGGATATGGTACAGGAACTTGGACATACAGCCTCTACTATAGAGATACATACTAACCACGAAGACACAACTAAACTGCACAGAAATAAAAGCACAAAGGCAGGCCTAGCTACACACAAACAACCAATCAGGCCTAAACACAGACAAGACCGATCCAAATTGAGACTAATGGACACACGAACCCTCCCGGCCTCTCCGACACTTGGGCCAGGGGTGGGGCCAGCGAAGGGCGGGGCTTCCCGGGTCGAGGCAGGGTTAAGGGTCAGGAGGCGGAGGCGCCGGCGCCCCCAAGATGGCGGCCTCCATGTGCGACGTGTTCTCTTTCTGCGTGGGCGTGGCGGGCCGGGCCCCAGTAACCGTGGAAGTCCGCTTCGTGAGCAGCTCCAAGGTGAGGCCAGGGCGGATTTCGCCGGGAACCCTTATCGCTTTTGGCCTTGGAGACAATCCCCTGGGACCCCAATCCCAGAGGCTAGAAGCTTCTCTACCACTCGGATGCTGCGGCCCAGCTCGCTGCCTGGTGGCTCCCTACCGGTCCCCACGCGCAGGCTCAGGGCGTGGTCACGCGGTGGACCAGGGGCCTCCGGAGTCTCCTTGCGCGCCCCCTCCCCGCGGAACCGGGCCCGCCTGTCAGCAGCCCTACCGAGGCTGCTGGGGGAGGGGCTGGGGGACATTGCTGCTGGGCCTTGGGAGCGGTGGACGGGTACGTGCTGGGCAGAGGGAACTGAGATGCCAAAAAGCGTGGGTCCTGAGGGAACTTTCTTAGTGAGATTTGGGTGAGGGGTGAGGAGAGAGAACAGGACCCTTCAGGAATGGTCTTAGATTGCTGACGGAGCATACTAGAGCTTCTGTTAAAATTAAAGCAAAGAGTTTATCGAAGGAACATAGCGATCCGGAATCCACAGCAATTCCTGGGGATTCATGAAAGTACTGCGGAAAGGAATTTTTCACAGAGCTTAAATACAGAAATCCGGGAACTTACAAGGAAAAAATTCTGATTGGTTGACATTTACAATCTCAGGCTTGAACAGACACAGGACAGTGGCGAGATCCTTTAAACATTATTTTGCTAATCGTAAAGTTTGAATCATTTAACAGTTTATGAATATTTTGAGGGCCAGCCTGAGTGAATGTTGTTCCTGGGAGCATGTTGTGAGAGGAAGAGGGACGAGGGGACCCTGTAGGCTTCCTGAGGTATGCTGGCTAGCTGACTTTTGAAGGTCAGGTCAGAATAAGCAGTATGCAGAGAAATATGGAGTCTGGCCTAAATCTTTGGCTACAGCCTCTTATGCCAAACATTTAGTTCTTTTGAGCTCCTTCACAATCTCCATTTTTGATCAAGAATTTCTATAGAAATTTGATGATCACTATTTTAAAAGTGTCTTCTGCATGGACTTACCAACCCTTCACCTTGCTATGTGTGGAACCTCATCTCTGAGGTAAGCAGGTCTTAAGTTACCCACAAAGGAGTAACTTGTCTTCTTGGGGTTTTTTTTGATTAGTTATAGATGTGCACCTATTCTAAATAGGCTTTTAAGGCTCCAGATGCTCCCCATGAAAGGAAGCCAGATACCATCTGTTCATTGGTGGCTTCTTACCTTGATAAGCCTCTAAGCCCTGGTTGCTTACAGGAGATAGCTGGGCAACAGCACAGACTCCTTTGCTGTGCCATAGCTTGGACCTCTGCTTCTGTGATTTTTTTTTTAAGAAGGGGTATGTATGACAATGGTCTTATAAGCTTATTTGTATGATCTGAATTCCCAGGTGTATAGTCGAGCTGACAAGGGTCAAGGTTGTAGTCACTTCTTGGTCACAGCCAGCTACCCAGAGGGACCAAGTAGTTGAACCTGTGGGCTTGGGACCATAGCTGCAGGGGACATCAAGCTCAATTGGTATAGCATTCTACACAAAACATTGTTCCACCTCCTACTTTGGCAAGTAGTGAGTAGCGGCTGGGATCTTAAAAGCTTGTAAGCTGCCATCTAGATGCAACAATGGGTCTCTCCACATCCAGAGCAAAGAAGAATGAAGAAAACCAAAAATTCATGGAAACAATTAGTCCTAGCGACTGGTACACTATCTGATCTGCAGCCTATATGACTGTGAGACTAGAAGAACTAGATGGTGCCCAGCTACCACTGTCAACCACTTGGAGAGGGATCTGTGTAGGATATCCTGGGTAGAGAGGGAGAACAATGTGGGACAAAACTCAAATTCATTTGGAGAAAAAAAAAGGGGGAGGAGACCAGGTTTGCTGGTCTGATAGAGCCTGGTGGAACCACTGAGACTATGGCCCCTAGCTGCCCTTCGGGTCTGGAATTGAACCCGCACCTGTGGCTTCCAGCCAAACAAAAGACAGGTATATGAGTTGAACATTTACCTGAGGTAGATACACTCCTTGGAGAGAACAGTCATGGGAGAAAGGAGGCTACTTATACATAGGGAGACAGCCCAGGGGGCAGGAGTGCATGAAGGGATGGACACACACACACACAAAGAAGGGGTATGTATGTAAGAGCAAGTAGGAATACTTGGTAGAGAGGGGCATTGTCCAAAGTGAAGAGTAGAGCTATTAAGAAATTTCTGTTTCCTCTAAAGTATCATGGAATTAGGACTGGAGCCTGAAGATGTGGAAACATTTGAAGGGTTTTTAAGAGGGATTAAAAAAAACAAAAAACAAAATCCCTGCCATCAAGTCAGTTCTGACTTTAGTGACCCCCACTGGGTTTCCAAGGCTATAAATCTTTACAGAAGTAGATCACCTCATCTTCCTCCTGCAGAGCAGCTGGTGGATTTGAACCACCAACCTTCTGGTTAGCAGCCAAATGCCTTAACCACTACATCACTAGAGTGCCTTCTATTTTTAAGTGGGATAGTTACATGATTTTATCCTTTTTATTCTGTTTTAAAAGTTCATTGTAGAAAAGCAGAAAATACATGTAAGGAAAAAAAAAGATAAAAATCACTCATAAACCTATTATACAAAGATATTTTTCACATTTTTTTTCTATATTTGTACAAATAATATATATTCAAATTACGTTTTTAGAACTGCTTTTTGATGGAGTCCTGATGGCACAGTGATTAAAGTACTCACCTGCTAACTGAAAAGTCGGTGGTTTGAACCCACCAGCCACACTGCTGAAGAAAAATGTGGTAATCAGCTTTCCTAAAGATTACAGCCTTGGATAACCTTGCGGGGGTGGGGTGGGGGTGCAGTTCTATTCTGGTCCATAGGGTTGCCATCAGTTGGAATCAACTTGCCTGCAATGGATTTGGTTTGAGGTTGGCTTTTTGATACAGGAATAATTTTTTTACTATCAATGATCCTATTTCTATGTATTAATTTTTAAGAGCTGAGTAACATTCTATTTTATGGCAGGACCACAGTTAATTCAACCAACCAACCCCTTACTTACAGACATTATGTTTTGTCTAATTTTTCATCTGGGAAACTGGCTCAAACGTCTTGGAGCTTAATTTCTGTGCACACGTGCTTGTGTTCTCTCCAGCACCAAGTATTTTCTTACTTAGTTATCTTTGCCAATTGCTATGTGCAAAATGGTATTGCTTTGTTTTCATTTACAGTTTTTGGTTAGTGAGTGTCTTAGTTATTTAGTGCTGCTATAACAGAACTACTTCAAGTGGGTGGCTTTAACAAACAAATTTATTTTCCCCCAGTTTAGGAGGCCATAAGTTGAATTCATGGTGCTGACCCTAGAGGAAAGTTTTTTTTCTCTCACTTTCTGCTCTGGAGGAAGGTCCTTGTCTCTTTAGCTTCTCCTTCTTGTTTCCTTGGAGATCTCCGCGTGTCCTGGCATCTGTTTTACCCCATCTCTGTTCACCTGTTAGCTTGTTTAATCTCTTGTATCTCAAAAGAGATTGACTCAAAACACACCCTATGCTGCTAATCTTGTCTCATTAACATAATAAAGACAGTGTATTCCTAAATAGAATTAAAGCCACAGGGTTAGGATTTACAACACATTTTTGAGGGACACAATTCAATCCATAACAGTGAGACTGAATAATTTATCATGTATAGTGGTTGTGTGTATTCTTAGTCCTTGCCCAAGATGCCAGTTCTCTAGTCTTTGTTTCTTCCTGATCTCATCTTTATACGGCTCCAATTCCCCAGCCCAACTTTCCACTCCAGGGGCTTCTAGAGCATTCCAATTTCCTAGGTAAACCAGCTCCCCTATATCCTGGTTTCCTCAGCTGCTCACATCTCCCACCTCCACCTCAGGGGCTCTAAAGCTCCTGGTTGATTTCAGCAACCACATGCTACCTCAGTGCACAATGTGATACTCTCTCAGGTCCTTGACCTCTATTGTGCAGTGATATTCACCTTTACTTTCATTTAGCCTCCTAATCTCTTGCTCTTTGATTTCATCACTTCAGCTGCCCTCCTTGCCCAATTATCCGGTCCAGCCTTTTATCAAAACCCCAGCTCTGAAAGAATGACCTGGATGCTCTCTCAGTGCCTGCCACTGATCTGCTGCTGGGAAAAATCACATACCCACCCTGACATAACAAGATGGATTATTCTGGGCTTTTTGCATATTCATCAAGTGGGTTTGGTTTGTGATTTTTTTTTTTTTTTTTCCTTGTGCTGTCTTCCTCAGGTTAACACATTGTTATGCTGGGTTTTTTGTTGTTTTTGGTAACATGGAGAAACTTTGTATTTTTTTCTGTTATTGAATAGTTTAACGAGAATTACTTTTAAGGTTTGAGAGAGCTGGATCATGAAATCATATAGGCTGGGGTCCTCCCATGGGGGTAGTCTTTGGACATTAACAGGAACGATTTTCAGGAATTACCAACTAGTCTACCACAGGCATGACCAGGTACAGTTCTAGGAAGACAGTCAAGGGTATGTCCACAGCTTGGCCCAGTGGTTTTGTTTCTTCTCTGCTCTTCCATTACTTTAGTGCTACTACTGTTATCTACTGCTAGGTAGACTCCCTGAGTTGTTCACAGGATTCAGATTTACGGCTTGTGGGTTGCCCGGAGCCTGTCCTGTCTACACATAATTACTACTCTGAACTTTGGAGGCATCCCTGTCTGGCCAGTGCACCAGTCTAGTACGAACCAGGGCTACTCGGAAGGCCATGATATGAGGGGACATTTCACTGCTGGGTCAGTTTCTTTTCTTCCTTTGTTGTGGTGGCTCAGTATTGGCAGGATCACCGCTCCTGTTCTCTAAGTGAACAGCGGTAGTAAGTACCCTACAAGGTCTGCCTAGATACTGAAGCTCTCTCCTGAGTCCTGCACATTTGGGAGATGGCAATTTAGAAATTGTTTTCTCATTTTTCATCCTTACATAATACAGGCAATGCTTTACCAGTCTTTCTCAAACTTTAACATGCATATGAATCATTTTAGTCTTGTTAAAATGTAGATTCTGAATCAGTGGGTCTGTGGTGGGGCCCAAAATTCCGCATTTCTAACAGTTGATGTTGCCAGTTCACGGACCTCACTTTGAGTAGCAAGGAGCTAGCACTTTCGAGGTACATTCACCTGTGCTGTATCATTGCATCCTGAAAACTACCTGGTAGATGTTTTAATACTCATTCTTCAAAGGGGAAAGTGATGCAAAGAAGTGAAACAGTTGACTTAAAGGCTCACAGTATGAGGACAGGTGCTAGGATTAGCCCATTCCTTTCAGTGCAACACCTGAGCACTCTGAGGTGCTGCAGGTACCAGCTGGCCAGGGAAGTAGAGTACACCCTTCCCTAAACTGGGCCTCCCCCTCCTATGGTGTAGGATTTCTCTGTAACCCTGAGCAGTAGCAGCAGCAGCAACAATAGCAACAACAAGAACATCACAACAACAACATCACTGCCAGGTTTCCGGAGAGGCACGTGGCTGACTGATGGAAGGCTCCCCTACTGTCACCGGCTCCTGCTACAGGAGATCCAGCCTCCTATGAGCCTCAGCCCTGCTCTGGCCATTCTAAAAATTCTCTTCTGAGTATTCTGAGCTGGCTGCCCCTGTTCGGTCCCCCTGCTCTGAATGGTCTTCAAGTGGTGTGACTGAGAGTAGGTCAGAGCTGCATTTCTAGAGGAGGCGGTTATGGTGGGTGCTGTCCATTCTCCATGAACCGTCTGTAGGCAGAGGCCTCTGCTGAGAGGGAGGCAATGGGAGTGAGGCTGGATGGGCCTCCAGGTGTCACTGGAGCTATGTCCTCTACCCCTTCTAATGGCCATCCTATCCCTTCTCTGCCCTTAGGGAAAAGGGCTATTTGCCAAACAGCTGATCAGGAAGGGAGAGACCATCTTCATTGAACGGCCCCTGGTGGCTGCTCAATTTCTTTGGAATGCACTTTATCGCTACCGAGGTGAGCACATCTCCTCTCCCGCTCCTCATGGCCCAGTCACCTTTGTGCACAGGAAGAGAGGTGTTTAGATCCCTACTGACTGATCTTCCTTTGGGAGAAACATGCCTGAGAACTATGCCTCTGACCAACCTCAGGCCATTTGGGGCTGTGAGCCTGCATTAGAGCAGTGCTCCCTGGCTAGAGGACTTGTCACTTAGGCAGAACTCAGAGCTTGGTCCCATAGTGTAAGGGACTGGATGTCATGCTGAAGGGCTCTGAGCCAAAGGAGAACACCACTAAGAGGAGGACGTGTGGCTCTTGATCAAAGAAGGCCACGTTAGGGCTCAGAAGCAAGTTGGATGCCTTGGGCTTTGTGGCCACATACTTTTTGCACATTTTTCTTAGCCTGGACCCCATCTGTGAAAGGAAGGCCAGTTGACTTCAGTGTGTGGGGAAAGCCCCCCCATACTGAGTCCCAGTGAGGAGCAGGGAGTCAGAAGGGGGGTGGGGGGTGGGGCGGGGCGGGCAGGCTCCTGGGGGGGAGGAGGTGAAATCCATTCATTCATTACATTTATTAATGTAGTCAGTTGTTAATTTATTCAGTCACTTTGCAAACTTACTGACAAACTGCTGTGTGCCAGGCACTGTTAAGCACTCTGCTCTTGAGGCACTTACAAGGTCGTGCCTGGCTCTTACCCTCAGCCTGTGACCACTGCCTTCGGGCCCTGGAGAAGGCAGAGGAGAACGCCCAGAGGCTGACTGGAAAACCAGGCCAAGTTCTGCCTTACCCAGAGCTGTGCACTGTGCGGAAGGACCTCCACCAGAACTGTCCCCAGTGCCAGGTGAGCATCCCTGGGCAGAGGGGGGAGGCCTTACCTGGGGAGTGAGAACAGCCTGGTCCTGGCCCTCGAGAATGCCAACAGAGGGTAAGATGTTGAAAAGGCTTAGTTACTGTTTTAGTGTTGGCTTCACTGTTTCAATTCCATTTCTAGAAAATAGGCTTGGTGGGGGCTTGCCCTCTTCATTTGACCTCCTCTTGCTCCTCTGCCTGGCAGGGGTTTTCCCTTCTACCTAAAACATTGTCTTCCCTTCTTGTGGTTTTACAAGCCTGGGTTAGGTGCCCTCTCCCTGCCCTCAGAGACCCTTGTGCTTATTGCTCAGGGACTGTTTGTAGAAGGAATGCAGTTACAAGCTGTGCCTCAGCCCCTGCTCACCCCATGGCCAGCTTCTAGGGTGCTGACTTCTACCTCACCTAATAGGTGATGTACTGCAGTGCAGAATGTCGCCTGGCAGCTGCTGAGCAATACCACCAGGTCCTGTGCACAGGGCCCTCCCAAGATGACCCTTTGCATCCTCTCAACAAGCTGCAGGAGGCATGGAGGTAAGCAGCATTTCCTCTCTTCTTTCCTTTATCTCTCTTTCCCTGCCTGCCTCAGCTCATCAGCCATCTTTCTTAAGTACCCCCCATTTTCCCTTCATTCTTAGGGTTAAATACAGGCCACAGTACCCAACCCCTTGCCTTTAATCTCAGCTAATGGCCAGTCCTGCCATTCTTAGCATTTTACCCACTCCCACAAAGGTCCTCATTAAGTGCATAAGGATGCAAAGTCCTGCCCAAGTTCCCTGCCTGTGTCTTTCTTTCTTTGATTATAAGTGAAACTAGTACAAAGTATTCTCTGTACCTATCAGACTAGGCTTCCCTGAGCTCAGCTACTGGGGAGGGAATTTCTAGGCCAAACTTTTTTCTGTCTCCCCAGGAGTGTTCATTATCCCCCTGAGACTGCAAGCATCATGCTGATGGCCCGGATGGTGGCCACAGTGAAGCAGGTGAGCCCGCCTGCCCCTCTTGAGCAGCTGACTTTGGCCCATTCAGCCCTTGGCCTCTGTCTTCTCACCTCAAGGCCCTGGCTTGGATACAGAGTTCTCTCTGGTTTCCCAAAGGAGGACCGCTTGCTATGTAAAACCTTAGGAGTAGGCTAATTGTAAATCAGGCATAAGGCGTGGGGAATGGAGGCTCATTTCCCCTTTGATCTTTAAGAGAATTTCTTGGATAGTAGCAATTCATGTGTTTGATTTATAGGTACCACCTTTTCAGGATTATGTCTCTTACATAAAGTGAGACCAATCACTGTATAACTCCTTTCAGCCTTATTTTCCTAAGCCTTACTAGCTTGGCTCCATCTGGAGTGGGTAGAGTGGGGAGGAAATGTCCCAAGCAGAGGAAGTGTTTACCTCGATGATCATGTTTAATGGTGTTTCCTGATGGCAAGAGCTTTAGAATGATAGCCTATCCCCTCCCATATGGATGGGACTGTCAGTAAGGAGGTGGGGTGTCCGTGAGTCCATGTGGGTGCATGCACACCTATGACCCTTCACTATACTTGTTCCATGCAGGCTAAGGATAAGGATCGTTGGATCAGGCTGTTCTCTCAGTTCTGTAATAAAACAGCCAACGAGGAGGAAGAAATTGTCCATAAACTCCTGGGGGACAAATTCAAGGTTGGTGTTCTCCCATGATCCCTACCCTGCTAATACCCTGAGATGCCTATGGCTGCCTGCGGGGAGCTTCACATTTGGTCCCTTCCCAGCAATAGGAAGGGGTTAGAATTCAGGCCCAAAAATCAATAAATAGTAACAGGAATAACTGTTTTTTCAACTTGATGACCTGATGTGGCCCTGAAATTGAGAAGTGGGAAAATGGGTGGTCACAGAGGAACATGAGGCTGGGTACCCCACTTGGAAGTGCTCCTTACCCTGATGTGGGAAGGCAGGACCCCCATGGTAGGATAACAGTTACCATCAAGTCCATTCCAACTCATGGTGACCTCATGTGTGTGTCAGAGTTAAACTGTGCTCTATAGGGTTTTCAATGGCTGATTTTTCAGAAGTAGATCACCAGGTCTTTCTTCTAAGGTACCTCTGGATAGACTCGAACCGCCAAGCTTTCAGGTAGCAGCTGAGCACTTAACAGTTTGCATCATCCAGACCCTCCTCATGTTAGGATAGCAGTAGAAAAATCAGGTGGTTGTTGTTGTTGTTAAGTGCCGACGAGTCGTTTCTGACTCATAGCGACCTCCATGCACAGCAGAACGAAACACTGCCCGATCCCGCGCCAGCCCCACAATCCCTGCTATACTTGAGCCCATCATCGCAGCCACC